ATAAGCAATCAAAGTTGGGAAAGGGGAAACATGCTCCAGGGTAGAAGATAAAACAGAATATCAAAGAATAGTAAGGAAACTACAATTTAACTTCTACCACGGATCAAGAGAAAGGCAACTTTCACTTTCAGTTTCATCTTGTTACAGGCTTGCAACCCGATCCATATCTCATATCTTGTAGTAGGCGTACCACCCGCTCCCATTTCAGTATATCTTGTGGTAGGCGTACCACCCGCTCCCATTTCAGTATATCTTGTGGTAGGCGTACCACCCGCTCCCTTTTACATTTCATCACACAATCACAAGAAATCCTGGCAAGGGAACATAAATAATATAATAACTTCCCGGCAAAGGAACACAACAATGTTATAATTTTCCCAGCAAGGGAACAACAATATTGAATTAGTCATCCCGGCAAGAGAGAATCAGCTATAACCAACCTCAACTCAACTTGTACTCAGTTCAATTATTGAAAATGCTTAATCATATAAGATCATTAAGTAAAGCACCCAAGTGTCATTTAAGAACACAACAACTTTCAATTTAAGACTCACGGTCATGCTTGACACTAACGTATAGATACTCGTCACCATGCTTATACGTCGTACTCAACAAGAAGCAAGTACCAAGTATGACTCAACTCCTAATCCCTCAAGCTAGGGTTAGACCAAACACTTACCTCGATGTCTTGATAACCACTTAAGTCTCAACTATAGCTTTACCCCTTGATTCCACCACCAATCCGCTCGAATCTAGTCACAAGTTACTTAATTACATCAATAAGTGCTAAATGAATCAACGCCAATGCATGAAAATGAGTTTTCTAACGTTTTACCCAAAAGTCAGAAATCACCCCCCCGGGCCCACGTGGTCGAAACCCGAGGTTCGGACCAAAACCCTATTACTCATTCCCCCACGAATCCAAATATATAATTTGTTTTGAAATCGGACCTGAAATTGAAGTCCAAATCTCCAATTTTGGAAAACCTAGGTTCTACCCAAAATACCCAATTTCCCCCATGAAAATCTTTTATTTGAAGTTGAAATCATGTTAAAAGATGTTAAGGAGTGAAGAAAATGAGTTAGAAATCACTTACCAACATTTTGGAGAAGAAAGGTTGTTTGAAAAATCGCCTTTTATGTTTTGGGGTTTTGAAAAAGTGAAAAATAACTGAAATTCCCATTTATTTATACCCCACTCAGACCCCCAGTGCGTACCGCATCAAATGGACTGCAGCTGCACAGCCTCCACCGCGATCCGCATAAAGGCACCGCGGCCGCGCTGGCCCCTCCCTGAAGACCTGTAGTTCAGCACCCTGTGCGGACCGCACAAAGGCGACTGCAGCCGCACAGCTTCCACCGCGGACCGCACAAAGGCGACCGCGGCCTCGTTGGCCCTCCGCGGTCGCACGCGATTTCTCGCGGACCGCACTAGAGGGTTCAGAGACTGCAACTTCCTGAACCTGCAACATCTGACTTTCTAAGCCTAAGGCATTCCAGAGCCCACTCGAAACCCACCCGAGCCCTCGAAACTCCAACCCAAGTATACACACATCCTCAAAAATATCCTACGGACATATTCGTGTAATAAAATTACCAAAATAACATCACGAGCATCGAATTAAACCTCGAGATCAATAAAAATTCTCAAAACTCTTTTAAACATCAAATTTCTCAATTAAGGTCCGGATCGCGTCAAACGACGTCCGTTTTCAACCAAATTTCACAGGAGTAACTCAAGTGATATATAACACCTGTACCGCATGCCGGAACCAAAATACAGGCCGGATACCATTGCTTTCTAATCAGATTTTACTTCAAATTTTCTTAAACAATTTCTGAAAACAATTTCACTTAAAAATTTATTTCTCGGGCTAGGGACCTCGGATTCCGATTCCGGGCATACGCCCAAGTCCCATATTTTCCTACGGACCATCCGAGATCGTCAAATCACGGGTCCGGGCCCGTTTACCCAAAATATTGACCGAAGTCAAATTTATTCATTTTAACATCAAAACTTAGCATTTTTCACAGAGTTCCATATTTAAGCTTTCCGGCTACGCGCCCGGACTGCGCACGCAAATTGAAGTGACTCTAAATGAGGTTTTCATGGCCTCGGGAGCACATAATGGGTAAGAAAACAGGTGATGACCCTTTGGGTTGTCACACTTGTGCTCAAAATATTTCTTTAATCCTAGTAAGATACAACTATATAAAGTATTTTTCAAGAAAATAATACAAAATATGAGATGTGTCATGGCATTATCCCAAAATATTCAACAATAAAGACAATAAAATTATATAATATAAATATTGCTAATTAAAAAGTCATAATAAAAATAAATATAATCTAAAAATACTAAAAGTCAAGCTAAAATAAGTAGACTAATAAGGGAATATTAATTACATGACTAAACGCTAACGAAAAAATAAAAATAGGTTATGCATTTTTATTTAAATTATTGCAAAACAAAAAATAGATATTCAATACATTCCCGTTCGTAGTATTGAATTGAATGTCTTTTGTTAGCATTAGTATTGATTTGATTTTGCTTTGGAATTTTGTTAGCATTATTAAATTTACTAATATTAATGGCTATAAAACTTATTGAAACATTCAAAAGTTCTAAGTCCTACCATGAAATAATACTTTAAAGATTAAATTATGAAAAGTTTTAAGAAATATTTAGAAATTACATCACAATAAGTATATTTTATATATTAAATATATCTAAAATTTATATATATTTAATGTCAGGTTGATTTGGTATCAGTTTGACTTTCTTTAGTTAAAACCAAACCAAACCAATTATAGTCGGATTTTTTTTCCAACACCAAACCATAATCAATTTTTTTTTTGTCGATTTAACTCGGACTATCGGGTTGGTATGCATGGTAGAGGGACGACAAGTTGGCAAAATTAAGCGAGTTTAATGAGAATATAACATCAATTGGTCTACTTGTCTAGTCTCATTATTGTGGACATAAAAACTTCCCTAAATCAGCGGAATCAAGAACCCTCATTACACATTAATCAAAGAATCGACTGAGTTAATTGAACTCTATGTATGGGTATTCTCTTTCATATATTGCAGAAATAACCGCTGAGTTTATCATTTTCATTTTAATTATTCAGTCTAGGTACTCGCAAAGGAGAATGAAGATGGGATTCCAAGTTTGATTTAAAAGAAAAACCTTTGTTTCATTGTTAAACATTCAACTATCAATCTAACTCTTTGAGATATATTACAGCTATTTTGATAGACGAAACTTTTGTGGCGCAATATATATAGCATAGGTTACGTTGCTCTAATACGTTCGTACTCTGTTTAATTATATATACTACTCCGGCAGTACATAACATTTGTCTATATAAGTCATACACTATAACATTTGTCTATACCACATATTTATTCCAGCTATGGACAGGTTGTTTATTTGTCGCTTAATGCTCGGATCATAGTTGTCGCTAAACGTTACTACAGTACTTACTAAATCTTAATTATCATACATAAATTACCTTCGAGGAATCTACCTAATTAAGAGTTATCAGAAAGTTAACGTTAGTAGTACAGGGCATTTAATAATCAATAAGGCAACTATTAAAAAATAGAATTAGTGAACAATGAATCCAAAATCTGGACTGGCTGTTACAACGTTTTCTTTAATATTTTATTATCAAATAAGTAATAATCCCTCGTGTGTTGTAATATCCAAATACTCAAATATTCCTCAATCTGGAATGAAGACAATTAAAATTGTGTTGAATGACAGGGAAAATTGCAGATCTTTGCATGGTGGTGGCAAAGACAAGTTGGCGGATTCTACGTAAAATTAACCAAACTGTCTGCTTTAGCTCGTGTTGCACTGGCAACTTGTAATATGAAGTTGCTTTGTAGGACATCAACCAGTTATTTTTTAAAGATTAAGATTCATAATCAATCTGGGTTTCGGTAAATAACGACAAGGAAGACCAGCCTAATCTGGTTACTGATCACAAATTAGTGAACAATTGCACGACGCAAATGCAACTTCTAATTACATCTTATTGGCCACATGTCTTGTTTTTCAACAATTATCACTCAGAAGGTTACTCTTTTAGTAATGGTTGATCAGTACCATTAAAGGCTGATAGCGCCAGAAGTAGATAATACATTTTTGTAATAATCTAATTTGGTTGTTTATTGTGCTGGTCAACTAAATTCAAGTCAAATGTTGCTCCCATCAACCGCTTTGAGTTTGGAGGTAAGACCTCTCTTTTCTGGATTATTGAATGAGTCAAGATGTTGAACTGAGGATTTTGATTAATTTCTTTTGGCTTAATATAACCGAATATAATAGTTAGACTTGGTTATTTTTGGAATTTGTCAATTTCAAAACTCAAATGTGAAACACAAAACTAAAATAATTATAAAGTTGACTAGCTTTTTATTCAGTTGGGGTCAATTGACGTGCTGGTTGTTGTTGCTTAATTGAATTTCCCTCAAAAAAAGAAGAAAAAGAAAAGATTTTACGTCAAAAAGGAAAGACAGATTAAATTTCGAGAGAACAGAATATCTATTGATTAATATTGGAAGAGGGGTTTGATTTTAATGATGAAGTTGGAGGAGGGGTTTAATTTTTTAAGATGAAGTTGGAGGATCAAAATAATTTTCACCCTTTTATATTTTAAGTAAATTAATCTGTAGATACTATTTTGTGATTGTAACAAAACGTACACATATTGTATACTATAATTTAAACTCTTCTTATCACAAATTTTTCGCAAAAATAAATAAATAAAATTAGAGTGTTGTGAATTAAAAATTTTACCAAAATTGCTGCATTCACTTTCACGGAGATCTACCATTAAAAGGTTTTTATCTCCTTCAAAATTAATCTCTCAATAAATCTCAAAGTCAAACAAGTTTGATCACTTCTCATCGTGTGTGTCGAGTGTCGACCATTTCCACTTTGGCCTCTCCCATCTCTCCTCCACTCGACCCCACGCCCCNCCACAGCTCTCATAAATAGCAGCTTTCCACATTCATCAAAGAAACCTCATTCTTCATTCATAACTTTTTGCCAATTCAAGAATCTCTCTTTATTGCTTCCTTAATCTTCTTCGTAATTTCTCCCTAGCTATAAGAAGATAGACGGTCGACAGAAATTAACACCTCCAACTTTTATAAGCTGCACCCAAAATTTCCATCGCAAGAACCAAAATCTTCTTCAACATTGGCATTTACTAGTTCTTGAAATTCTACCAAAAGTTTACTTTTTTAAGGAAAAATCCATAGTTAGTGAGATAAAAATTTTGAGCTATGAAAAAAGGGAGAGGTTTCAGGCTTGGACGGAAGTTGGTGAGAGTTTTCAGCTGGTTTATTCACAGCAGAACAAAGGGAAGAGTTGGACACAAGCAGCTGAGATCACAGGGATGTGCTAGCAGAGCCATTTCAAAGCTATGCAAATTAGGACATATTCTGAAGCAGGGAGCAAAAGGTCTCTGCTTTGCAAGACCCAATTCGGGTTACATCCGGGTCGGGGAAGATCCTGTAGAGCCGAAGCAGGTGACCGTACCAAAGGGACATTTAGCTGTGTACGTGGGTGAGAAGAAAGATGACACGTGTAGAATAGTGGTGCCTGTGATGTATTTTAATCACCCTTTGTTTGCTGATTTGTTGAGGGAAGCAGAAATGATTTACGGGTATAATCATTCGGGTGGGATCCAAATTCCATGTCGGATTTCTGACTTTGAGAACGTTAAATCAAGAATCGCCGCCACGGGCGGCGGTGAAAACTGCCGTGTATAATGGAGCGGGAAGTGCACATACTGATTTAGACTAGGGAACAACCCCCTACCTTTGCCTATTTTCCACCGACGGAAAAGGGCACGATGTGTTAGGGAGGTTTAGTTTATGTTACTTCTTTGTTATACTTGAGGGAAAAAGAAAACTGTCTTTTTTTTTCTTTTTAGAAATGTTTGTAGTGATATCAAACATTCCGGGTGTGAAGGATTAATTTATTTGTACAAATTCTTGTAAACCTTGGAGCTCAATTCTCAAATGCATTTAGGTTTTCAGATACACATTCATAAACTGGTAGAAGCTTTTCGTACCAATAAAATAAGCAAACTCATACGTTGACCTGCCCCCAACTTTGAGAGTCGTTCTTGCGAGGGTATCTTCTAACTCCACTTCGCTTACGTTGAAATCCTCTATGTTAACAACATGTGAAATTTGGACCACCCGAAAGTCTTATATGCTCTCAGAAATTATATGAAATTAACAATGAAATGGTCATTAAACCCAAATACATACACGGCAGGGAATTATTTATATAGACTCTTTATCTTGGAATTCGACTTTCGACGTATTGAGCACTTGAAACTGACAAATATGTTAAACTGTCACGATCCAAAATTCACTAATCGTGATGACACCTAACCCAACCCGCTAGGTAAATCAATTTAATAATTATTCATTTTTAATTAAATTAATAAAACAATTAAATGGAAGAAATTATCTGAAACTTATAAAACTTATACATTCCCAAGGATTGATAGTACAAATCATGAACTTGAGTTTTATAATCTAAGACTATCATGAATAAGAGACAGCTACAACAGAAACGCAAGTATATCTTCAAATCCAGCTCCCGTTAAACACAACAACCTTAGCAGCCAACATCTGTACGCAATATGCAGAAGTATAGTATCAGTACAACCGACCCTATATACTGGTAAGTAACAAACCTAACCTATTAAATTAGCTAACATGAGATATGAACATTATTGACTAAGTTATTATGACTCACCTTCACCTTGGTCTTCACACCCCCCTCTGCCCCTAACTCGACCCACCCTTCATGGGCTTCGTCACTTGTAAAGGCGAACTCAAGAATTGAAGTTTATGAGTTTTGAATTTGTTATTCAACTCATAGTTCATTTTAGTTACTAGGTTTGCAATTAAATATTTATACATATTTAATATTTTTAATACAAACCTAGAGTCTAAGCAAAAGCTATTAGGTTCGTGCGAACCGTAAAATAACATTGTGGCTCCGTCCCTGCTCACCTGCATCTTCACCCTTGAGCATTTAATCTCAATCTTTAATGTAGTTACTAGATAAGTAGGCTAAACTATAATAAACCCTTTTAAAATTACATATAATAGTTGGAGGGCGTTGTATATTGAGTGAATGAAAAAAGCGCATGAAGAGTTTCATTAGTAGTTGGCTAAAAACATTTTAGCTAAAAAGTTGGCCGACGTACACTATACGAACGTAAAACATTGGAAAAATGTAAAAAATACCTATATTTTTCAGATAAAAGAATAATACCGAGCTACATATAACACAGGGATTAAGTAATGATAGTAGCCTAGCTATGAGAATTATTAATAACGGATGATCCAAATGTACCTTTGCCGTGTCTTCAATTTCCCTAATTTGCGATTTCACAATTTTAAGATATATTATATCAAAATGTCACTGTGTCTTATTAAGTAGCAGCAAACAGTTGAATATGAAGCAAGGGGTCACCTAACAAATGGACGAGCTCAAGGGGCGCGGATAAAAATGGCAATGTGCTAGCTAGAGCGTCAGCTGTTATTTCAAAGTTTGTGATTTAAAACTAAGAGCCTGCAAAATTGCATGGAATGGGGAAGACAAATTGGTAAATTGGAAGAACTTAATGACATTGACTTGTCTGCTTGTCGAATCTCATTCTTGTGCTTCCCTAAATCAGCTGAATCAAGAACCCTCACACACAAAAATCAAAGACTCTCAATTGTTTGAACTACATCTGCACCTGAAACTATCTAGCTATCAACAAACATTTCGAAACAAAAAGTAGTTCATTTTGATATAAACTTTTTAATATTTAAATTTTTAACAAATTATGAGCTCATCCACAACTAGTTATAACAGGTGTGACATTTGATATCAGAATCATCGTTTCATAGTTAAACCTTTAACTATACAAACCAACTTTTGCACCTTGGGTTGTTCATATATCTATATAGAGCTAGTTTATTGGCAACTAAGAGGCGCTCGTGTGTTGGAATTTCAAGAAATATTCAAATAATATTCTTCAAGTCTAGAGTGACGATAAAATTGTACATGTGGAATGACATTGCACATTTGCAGATCGCTGCATGGTGGTGGCAAGACAAGTTTGCCGAATTTGATGCAGAACCCAACTGTCTAATTTAGCTCATCTGCCCTGGCTATTTTGTCGTAATTAAATTGCTTCATAGGACATCAACTATATTTTTTTGGGTAAGATTTAGACTTTCTAAATTTTGGTAAATAGAAACAAGGAACACCAGCTTAACGTGTTTATGGATCACAAGATAGATAAAAGATTTGAATAGATTTAAGTATGGAGGTCAATGTTATATTGTCTGGAATTGAAGGAGTCTAGAATAATTTCTTTTATGCTAGTGTGGCCGACATTTAATATATGTTGTGGTCCGAAAATTTTGGTGTTTTATAAATTGTAAAGTTCAAAGATAACGTTAAGATTTTTATTTGCCCCTCACGGTTAATGAGGGAATAAGACGAACTCACTTGACCAAATGTCACCAAATTTGAACTCTATACGCAGTACTTCTTTTTTCCGTTTAAACTTTAACACATATCTAATCTATCTATTATTAAAAAGAAAGAAGTCAGCCATGAGAATTTGTCATGTGTCGTGTGAAGAAAATTATGGCAATTTTAGGATATAATTAGTTAATTTAGTTAAAAATTAGTTTACTTTTTAAATTTGAATTTCAAAATAATACAATATTTATTTTTTTTACTTTAAAAAAAATTAACTTACCAACAAAGAAGTTACCAAGAAAGGAATAGAATTCGGGAATAGGAAGTTACGATTGTGGAGGTTTAAAAATAATATATCAATTTTTTTTTTGCATTCTTTAAAAACTAATTTACTAACAAAGAATAAAACTTAAGAAGTTACCAACAAGGAATCAACTCCATTCACGCGTGCCTTTCCATCTAAAATTCTAAACCCTAAGGGGTCTTAACTTCAAATAACCCACGATGTTGCCCCATGATCTCAACTCCTAACCCACTAATCCTTCTTCGCCGGAGTTCCAAAAACATGATTTTTCAGATTTTTCACAATTTTATAATATATACCTCCAATTCTTTCTCCTTTCTTCGCATATCAGTCAACAATTCTAGATTACAGGAGGTAAGTTCTATAATTTGTAATTCTAGAACACTCATTAAATTTCTAGAAAGAGCAACGATTTCTTAGTTCTTTCTGATGGATTATTATATGCAGCGGAAGCAATCCCAGTATCAAAATCACATGTAATTTAGACAACTAGCATAAATCCCGGGTTACCTCTTGAAGCGTGAACATATCTCTTCTACCACGTGAGCCTTCAGTTCCATAACTTCTCAATGGAATCTCCATCACTCGCACAATCGTGATCCTCGAACGTTCCACGGTCTTCTACTGTGTTACCCAAATAATACCCGAAAATA